AGACCTACATCCATGGCACATAAAACCCGAAGGACTAGTTCTTTATTCAATCTTGTTAACAACACACATGAAGTACATCCATTAAATTATAACACTTTTGTCAATTAAGTCTCTGAACTAAATTTCGTATTAATTGAGTCTCTAAATTCTCAATTACAATATTTTTTGAAAAAATACACAAAACATTGTATCTAAGAAATACAATGTTTATTTCCATTTTACAATATTTTCATATGATGTTTTGTGTTTTGTTTATCTGCATAAAACCAAATGAGTTTCTGATAACATCTGGTCAAACATATAGATTAATTATTCAGAGTGTTGGGATTTTGAATTATGTTTTCGAGATTGATATATCAATATTTTGATGAAATATATAGTTTGCTATATTTATTTTTTTTTAAGAAATTATTTTTTAAGATTCATAATAAAAAATCTGATATATGTAGAAACATGTTTCACTTTTGGCAAAATGATGTAATGCCTATAAATAAAATTAAAATTAAACAATCTAGAAAACAATGTTTATTTAATACAGATAAATGACTATTTGATATAGATTTAGCTGTGTGAGAATACATTTTAAAATAATATTTTATTAAATTAGGCAAATTATAATTTCAGATAAATCTATAACCAATCCTATTAAATGCATACAAATAAATTAAACTAAAAAAAACATTTCAAAACTATTCTTCAGTAAAACAGAAAAATTAAATTCAAAGTTGCTTGTTACAAGTTGTTTGAATGCAAAAAACATTGTTAACACTCTTATTATAGAATAACCTAAAATGTATTTTGAATAAGGAACGTGGACCACTTGTAGGACCTTTTTTGAATTTAAATACACGTCAGATCAAATGAAAGAATTTATCGTGATTTTGCAAATAAATTTTGAGTCATAATAATCGGTAATTTAGTATGAGAAAAAAAGAGGAGATAAAATATAAATTGAAGAGAGAGTGACGATATTAAATCGTATGAAAGAAGTTTAAGTCTAATTTTTGATTCATGAAAGAATCCATTTTTTTTACTAAAATGCAAGGAATAATGCAATTTGGTCGAAACAAACTATTTTAAATTGTTGACCTAGTGTGACAGTGGAGATGTTAAAATAGTATTATTCTAATTAAAACTCTTTAACTTATTTTTTGAAATCACATCACTTAACACATTATTAGATTAGTAAATTAGTTTAGATTTTTATAGGCTCCAAAACTATTATTGAAATATAAAAATAGCAATAAATTTATATAATTTTTTAGTGGGGTCAAATTTTAAAAATTTATAAAGACTTTAAAACTACTCAAAAAAAAATTTAAACTTTCACTAGGGCAGTTGCTCCGATTGCCCCCAGTGTAAATCCACCTCTGCATCCAAAGGAAATATTAACCATAATAGATTTTTTTTTTATTTATTTCCAAAAATAAAAAGTGATAATTTGAAAAAGTATTTGGGTGGGCTATTCTCACCCTACAAATCTCCATTCCCACCTCATTTAATTTGTCATTATCAAACTACTAATTTCACCCCTTCTATACACACCTCATTAATAACTAATCTCACCCCATTTTAATAAGTAAACTCACTTTATATTTTATCATAATTAAAATTTCATTATTTATCTCTTTTCATGCACTCACAAAAATACTTTTTCATTATAAATTTTTCAGTGAAATACAAGTTAGTATTACTTTCCAATTTAATTCTATATTTGATTTTATGTTTGTTATATGAATTTTTATTATTTTCAGTATGTGTTTGATATTTTTGTCGAGTTTTATAATTTTTTATTTAGAATTTATATGTGTATATATATATGTATATTTTTAAATTATTTGTTCTTTATTAAGGCTTTGCATCTATGCTTGTAATTTTTTTTATTTTTGATTTTGTATTTGTGTTTGATGCTTATTTTCTTTTCATATTCGGTTTTGCGTTTTATAATTTTTTTTTGTTCTTTTAATTTTTACTTCATTTTTTTTCTTTCTTGTTTTGGTTTTTTTTTCCTTGTTTCTTTTTTTTCTTTTTTCTTGTTTCAGTCTACTTCTTTCTTTTCTTTTTCTCTTTTCTTGTTTCGTTCTGTTGTTTTTTCTTTTTTCAGCATGTTCGATTTTTTTTACTTGTTTCGTTTTTAAGCATTTTATTTTCTTATTTCGTAAATATATTACATTCAAACTAATTATTTTCTTTCATTATTTTCTTCTTACGATGACTTCTTTTATTAAAGGAGTGTACTATTAATGTAGTGTATGTAGAATGAGGTGGTTTAGTTACTAATGAGATGGATATAGAAGAGGTGGATTTAATAATTTGAGAATAAGAAATTAAATGGAATGACAATGAAGATTTGTGAGGTGTGAACAGTTACACCCAAAATTAGGGATAACAATGGACCGGAAAAAAGTGGGTATTCGTCCAAACCTGCGCCCGTTTGGATCGAGAATGAACTATACGTATTATACGGTGGACGTATATGAGAATATCCGTATAAACCCATACGGGGATGAAGGCGGGGATGGACTTACCCTTACCCCCGCCCCCGCCCCTCCCTTCCCCCGCTACTTGTTTTATATATATATATATATATATATATATATATATATATATATACTCACAAGCCCTAACTAAACATATTTACTGTAACTATCAATCTAGAAATATGGTAATCAAATTAACAAGTGTCATTGCTATGTGGTAATCTTATCAACTTTTTTCCCTGATTGTTCTTTTTTCTATTTGTGCTCACTAATTGAAACTGTTAGGAGTTTGGATTGACCATGCTCTAAAAACATATAAGAGAGAGTAAAATAGTTTTACATTTCATTGTGAGTAGAAAATATTGTGAATGGAGGTTGATAAGTTTCTCTACTAGAGTGAACTAAGAAATTGAGAGAATTATTAAATTAACGAAATTTTGGGTTTTCATCTTTTAACACTTTATGGCTGTAATATGAATTGTAATAATACAAATTATTTTAGGAAACTTCAAGTGTAATGCTATCGTTTTCTTAGTGCAATTTTAATTTTATTTTATTCCTTTTTCTCTAATAGTTCCGTTTTCTTTTTGTGGTCCAATGACACTTTAAACAAAATACTATATTGTTTTGTCTTTTATATTTTTGCAATCTAGATTATTCACTAGATTATTTAAAATATTAGATTTATTTAGAATTTTGGTTTATGCTACTTGGACTTGGGCTTGGGCTTATGCGGGTACGGAAAAGCGAGGACGGGGATTAGAAATTTATCCATAGACAGGGATGGAGATGAAAATTATACTCGTTAACGGGAGTGGACCGGAGATAAACAAAATTTTTTTAAGTGAGTATGAAGATAAAAACTACACTCTCCGTCTCCGCTTCGATTCGCTAACATCCCTACCCAAAATGTTTACCTAACCAACCCTCTGTCTCTGTCTCTCCATGCCCTCCCTTGATTTCCTCCTCCCAGGCCACTACCCAAAAGCCCACCCTTGCCCAAATAGCTCCCCAAAGACCTTCTCTTCAAAGCCTGCCACTTGACCCCAAACCTCGACCCCTGTTAAAACCTACCGAACTTGGACCCCAGTGTTGGCCCTTATTAAGTCATTTAAATGGTCGCATAACCCAAATAATATTTGAGATGAGAAGGCCCAATAGAATATTAAAATCCAAGCAACTACAAAAGGCCTATAATATAAAACCTCCCTCTCCCCCCCCCCCACTCTCTCTCTATCTTCATTTAGAAAATATTCAATCAACGGTTGACAAAATATAACAGAATAATATTTTGTGTATATGTCTTGTTATATTATTATTGTTATACAATTATTATTACACTATTATTGTTACACTGTTATGAAGTTCGGATATTAATATAATTTAAAAATAAAATCACTTTTTATAAAAAATATGCATTAATCAATATACATTAAATATAATTTGAAAATAAAATCACTGTTCAAAAAAAATTCTCATAAATCAAGGAAGGACATAAAAATACAGAATATTAAAGTTATCTCATAAAACTATGAGATGTTTAATGCACTACTTTTCAAAAAAAAAAAACGCATAGATCAAGGAGGGATATAAAAGTCAGAAGAAATATGAAAATTTCAAATAATGTATTTAGAAACAAATAAGTATCAAAATTAAGAATTTTTTTATTTTTCATTTTTTTGTATATTTTTTTACAATTATCTCTAATTTAGTACGTCTCCTTCCAATTTTTCCAAAAAAAAATGCCCAATAAGTCTGGTTACCATATTTATCTGTTTCTCTCATTAATGGGAGACAACAACTCTAGACAAACACAAACAAACAAAACCATTTCCACGTGAATAAAAATATCCCTAGATTGCCATCTCTCTCTCTCTCATCTCTGTATGCAAACTATCCCAATTAAGATAAAAGATATTTTGTCCATAATTTGACTCTTTGTTTTTATTTTTAGTTTTATTTTAATAAATAATATAATTATGTACTAAATATGATTTTTTTAAAAAAAATTATTTTATAAATGACATAATACAACATAAATTTTAATTATAAAATTTAAAATATTTGATATTCTTATCTTTTATTCATGTATTTTTTTTGTCTAAAAATAATATTTTAAATTTGATGGATCTAAGTATATCTATTAAACGATCAAACTATCCCAATTAAAAATAGAAAATATTGTGTCTATTGCAGTTTGACTCATTATTTTTTTTTAATTTTATTTTAGTATAATTGTATATTAATTATGATTTTTTTAAAAAATTTTTTTTATTTTAAATTTTATATCAATAAATGACATAATAAAAAATAAATTTTGTTTATAAAATTTAAAATATTTGATATTTTATCTTTAATTTGAGTATTTTTTGTTTAAATATAATATTTTAAATTTATAGAGTATAATTTGGGTATAATTTTTTAATGAACATGGACGACAGGGTTTATTGGTTACGTGTACAAATTTTAGGGGTAAATTTAATTTTCTTTAAAAACATTGTAAAATGAAAACCAGTTTCAACATCGAATTCACCTGAGACCACTCTTTTGATTTCAACTACAAACTCATACGTGGATTCCTGAAGGAAGGACAGACAAAAAGGCCTCCTTTTCTCTCTTCTTCTATTGATTCAGATCAGGTCTTCGTGTGCCAGGTAATAAATTATATTTTATTTGCTTTCGATATTTAAGATTTTTCGTTTTCACGAATGAATAAAATTCTGGGTATCTCTTGTTTTGTCTTCTCGTTTTCATTTCAATCTTGCTTTCGTGCACAAATTGCTTGCAAGCTCCTTTTTTCCCCTCTAATTTTTTATCATGGGTTTGAGTTTGGAAATTTCTCCTTTTATTGTCTTGAATTTGATTTGGCTGGGATAGAGTTCTGTCTTTGTGCAATGGTCTGCTTGATTTCTTATGCCCATCTAAGTTCTCTCTCTCTCTCACCCCCCCCCCCCCCCACATGATAAATTTGTTTATCACCATGGGAAAAGATAATCATTTTTCTATAATGATCCTTAGAGTTCAAAACCCTGTTACTCTCTATCGCAATTGTGGTTTTAGTCCTTCTATTGGGGCTGACAATTTGTTTAATGTAAGTTGGTGGGTTGTTCTCTCTCTCTCTCTCTCTCTCTCTGACACTCAATTTACATGATAAAGTTTATGGCTTGTTTCTTTTAGGCATACTCACCATTTTAGCTTGTTGCCATTGAGATAATTTATTTAGGATACTTTTGATAACCTACTCTGTTTAGGAATGATGAAGCTCTTTCAGCTCAACATTTAGGGAGAGCCCAGACCCTTGCCAATTTCTCACCCTTACTGTGCATACTAGCCAGGGAAGCTTTAGAAACTTTTATAGTGAATTCTTTGTACTATCAATGTAAGAATAACTTGTCTCAATTGTGAGTTATTTTAGACAATAGCTTGAGTTTGGATTTTTGGTTCCCCTTTCTTGCTTTGCAGAATTTCAATACGCGATAGGTTAGGGGTCAAAGGGTGGTGGATGGGAATTCAGACAATGGGTTCTTATGAAACTGGGCAACAGTCTCATTTACAGCCATTGGGAAGGCAAAATTCATGGTTTAGTCTCACCCTTGATGAAGTTGAGAACCAGTTGGGAAACTTGGGTAAACCATTGGGAAGCATGAACCTTGATGAGCTACTTAAAAATGTGTGGACAGCTGAAGCAAATCAATCGAATGGGATGAACATTGATGATTCTTCTCGAGCAGCTTCTCTACAGCGTCAGGCCAGCCTAACACTTGTGAGGGCTTTTAGTGGAAAGACGGTTGATGAGGTGTGGAGAAATATCCAACATGGGCAGAACATGAGGATTATTGAGGAGATTAATAGTCAGGAGAAAGAGCCAACTCTTGGTGAGACGACTTTAGAGGATTTCTTGGTAAAAGCAGGGCTTTTTGTTGCAGAAGCTTCTTTAGGACAAGTTATGGGGTTGGATAATGCCTTGACATCGCCAACTTTTACCCCACAACTAGGCTTGTCACCTTCCCCTTCAATTGATGCACTATCAGATACACCAACGCCCAGGAGGAAGAGGGATGCTGGAGACTTTGAGAAAACCCATGAGAGGAGGCTTAGGAGAAAGATCAAGAACAGGGAGTCTGCTGCACGTTCACGAGCAAGAAAACAGGTTTCTAATGTGTTATTTTTCTTTTGCGCAGTCGTTTTTGTATTCCTTCATCTTTCATTACCAATAGATTCATGTGGTAATTCACAGGCTTACCACAATGAGCTAGTGAGCAAGGTTTCACGTCTTGAAGAGGAAAATATGAAGCTCAAAAAGGAGAAGGTAGATAATCCCTCATCTATCTATTGCATTGCATTCATCTTTAATTTAGGGAGATTTTAATTTTATAGATGTTTGGATGTCTTTGGCTATTGACTATTTGTTATATGTAAACCTAAGAAGGCATGGCTCATGCGTCAAGAGCACCATTTCCTACTCTCTGATTAATCTAGCCATAAAATGGCAGGTCTTATTTGAAAATCGAAATGTTTTGTCATTGTCGAATTGTCTGCTGATCAGTGCTGCCATTATTGTAAATTAGTCTTGCAAATGTGGCAATTGGCCATAGCTTGGAAGCACTTCAACAATATTACTCCTCAAAACATGTCTTGTCTGCAAAAGTGGGGTCATTTTGCGATCCCCTTCTTTGAGACGTACTTCCTTGGGTGAAACTTGATGCAGACAAGCCTCTTTTTTTGCTGATGGCTTATACCCTTTTAAATAACTTACTAAAAATGAATATGCAATCAGTAAGATATCCTTTGTCGCCAAGTATTGTTCAATGTCACCTAAATTCATTTGATACTACATTTCTGGTATTGATTGTGTACATTTTAACTTTGATAGAGTTTCAGATATTGTTTTGATAGTATACATGATCATCTGTAGCCTTTGGTTATCTCAGTTGACTAGAATGTGTGTTAAATCAAATGTCAATGGGTAGGAAAAGAGGTTGGGATTAGCTACATCTTGGTAGAGCAGAGTCTGAGCTGGAAGTATGGACTACAATGGAGCATAGGAAAAACCAAATCAGGAGCAGCAGCAGCTAGGAATTGCAACCCAAATCTTTTTGCTTCATCACATTAGCTAACGACAATATCAACTTCTTATAACTCAACTCCAATGAATGGGGGGATTTCATAAGTAGTTATTGGCTATTGTGATTCTCTTGTTTCTATTCACTTTCTTTATGGACATAAACTTCTTTGTCCTTTCATCGAATTTTATTGATCAGAATCTCAGGTTTTCCATTCTGTTTTTGAATGGGAAGTATTCAAGATGATAGTAGAATCAGATGTGTTTGGTGAGTTAAATTAACTGATAATCTATAAATTGAACAGACTTGAGGGTGGCTAGAATTTTTCTAGAGATCATTGAACAGATGTTGTTAGCTGGAACACTGCTTTTGTGATTCAATCGAGATTGTCATGCAGGCATGCAGATATGTCTATATGGTGAAAAAATTTATTATCGCATTTTCTTATTTGAGGAAGGGAGATATGTCTCAGATCATCCAACTTTGGACTAACAGATCAGTGCCCAAAGTGTCATTAGGTATGACTGCAAGTGGACAAATTATTTTCAATGCAGAAGTTCTGAGGATGCATGTGATTCTCTATGTGGATCTTTGTCAACCATTGCAGAACAGTTAATACCTTTGCTGCCTAGTCCTTGAGATGGAAAGGTGGTTTTAGGCTGTCGAGTTAGATGGTGTGAAATAATGAAATAGATCTGAATGCATGAGCACCTTGTTTTCGGATTTTAAACAGTTATGGAAGCTGATGACATGAATGTTAATAAGATTTGGAAACAGCATAGGCAGTGGACAGAAATGTGGTGAGAAATGAGGTAGTGCTGCTGATTGTTGAGGTGGTTCATGGTTGTGACATGGAGATGGCAGTGGTACTGATGATGTGGTGTTTGGAGAAGTGTTTTGGTTATATCTTGATGTTGGCTGTTGCAATGTTGTTGACTTCTGTCATTGTGATTCTGGCAGTAGTGAATGTTGTGCATTATGAGGATAAAGGCAGCATCTGTGGCAGAGGCATGGATTGACTGCTTCCTTCCTAGCCCTAAGTTGTCACAAGTTAAGATTCATTAGAAAGCATTATGATAAGAAAAACAACATCTTCAGGATTTCGGCCACTAGATTCCTTTCTCTTAGCTGCCAAAAGATTGGTTAAATTCATCCTTATAATTTAGACACTTGAGATCAACTGCTTTAAATCCCTTTTCACATCTAATACTTCTTCTAACTTAATGCACCTTAAGGGTGTGGTTGGACATAGATTTGTAATTTATGAAGGAATTTTGTCATGAAGAAATTTTCAACAAAAAAAAAAAATCTGAAAGCTTCTTTTTCGAACTTTATTATCTGGTATGGTTGAGTAGATTAGAGTTTACAAAATTGGGAATTTGTAATGAATAGATAGATCGGAGAACATTGTATAGGTGGATTTCGTATGGAGTTATTTGAGGTCAACACCTCCATGAGCTATGTTAGTCATGGACTTATCTATACCTAATGGGGACAGTATGGAAAAGGGTAAGCCATCTCCCAGGGCAGTGTTATTTGCGTATATATGAAATGTGGAAAAGCCAAGGGCTTCAGTATTTCCGCTTAAATCTGAAGCCTTCTTTTTTAATGCTTTGCAATTTTTGTAGCCATATAGGGGCTTGAAAGAGATTGCCAGGAAGCAAGTAGATCTTTTGCAGAAGTGTTAAGTTATGGATCATTCGATATTAACTGCCCAGAGTAGGACTATTCTTCGCTTTCTAATTGAATTTACCATGTTGAGTAAAAATAGTTCGTGAGGCGTTGCGATTTGTGGCATGCTCTGTATCTTATTTGCATTGTCAAATTTGTTATTCTGCATGTTATTTCCATCTCTCAAACTTTAGTTGGCTCACCAGTATCGGATTGGATTGCATTAAAATGTTTGGACTTTGCAAGATATTCTGCTTCTTAATCTTCAATTTGAGTTGCCGAAGGTGACATCTTTCAGAAATGTAGCAGATTTCAAAACCTATTCTTTTGTTTGAGCCCTGACTTAGGTATGGCTACCTCCCCACAAAAAAAAAAACCCTGGGAAGATGTATCCTCCATACTGTTCTTGTTTCTTATTGTTACCGTTATAATACTTATCAACTCTCTCTTTGCAGGAATTAGAGAAGATGCTGTCATGTGACTTACCTCCAGGACCAATATATCAGCTCAGAAGAACAAATTCGTTCTGACATGTTGATCAGTATGAAAGTTTTGTAGATCCCTTAAAGTGGTAGGATTGTGCTTGTGGGTTTAGGAGAGAGCTGTGTTGGGGCTATATTTGTAGGGGTTGCTTGTTGTATTGCTGCTCATGTCCCTTGCCTCCCACCCATCTACTTAGTTTTATTAAAGCTTGCTTTCATTGTAAATTAATAGATATACTTATCCTAGTATATGATTAAGGTTTATGTAGCAACAAACCATGTTTAAATGTCCAGGATCTGTTTGTTTTAATGGAAAATCAAATCAGAAAAAGAAATAAGCCAATTCTTTCTCTTTCTCCATGGTCCTCTGCAAACCTTCAGGGGTATGTTTGGATCGCCAGGTAGTTTAGGATAGGTTTTTTTTAATCATTTCCTATCCAACCCAATGCCCCCCAGTCACTTACATTGGCTTGCATATTGGTATATTCCCTTCCCATCCCTTGTTTGGCTAATTATGTTTTAAATCCGTAGGACTCACAGATTAAAGTCTTATAACTGAACATTTTTACTGTAATACCCTTTTATCTAGTCCAAATTTATTTTTGGCTATCAAATTGTGGCCTCCCCACATTCAACTTTTTTTTATCCATAAAATTAGAGGCTTGGATGAATAAAAGCAACTGCTTCACACGGGAAGATTAAAAAAAGGGTAAAAATGATTCAGACCCTGAGCTTTGTCTTAATGACACGGATGCCCCCTTCACATTTTATTAATTACAGTGACACACTTTCACATTTGAAACTCGTTACACGGACACCCCTTCTTTTCCATGGCCATCAATAATTAAAACAGAAAAAGGTGAAATTACCTTAAAAAATTATTGTAATTCCAAAATTAGCCCTCAGTAGTAAGATTAAGTATTATATATTAAAATTTCCCAAAAAAATACAATAGAAAGACTATTATATCCCTCAATACACTTTAAAAACACAACACAACTCTCACTACCATTTCTACTGCGTGAAGAACTTTGGAACCCACTGAGTGAAGAACTTTAAAAACTTGTGTAAGTACTCTCTCTCTCTCCATTATTTTTCCTATGGTTTCACTGTATAGTTCATCTACAATGCTTTGATATGAAGCTTTGGGATGTTTTTATTCCGTCACTTATGGTCTCTCTCTCCCCCCCCCCCCAATTGCGTTCAAACACCCAACATCATTGTCTTAAATTGTCCAAAGCTCTACCTATTATGGATCTGCTTGTGACAACATATAAAATCAGAGGGGTTTGTGTGTTATATTGACATAACTGAAGAGGGGTTAGTGAAATCCACAAATGTACTCGTTATTTTTGTTGATATTATTTTACTTTGTGCCAACTAAGGAAGAAAAATGTCATTCTCAAACACAAGTAGAGTTGAAGGTACAAGTGATGGAGATGAAAAGCCTGATTTAAGATTCATCGAAAAGGAATGCATCTGTCAGAAGAAAGTCGCTGTCAAAATTTTGGAGTCAGAAATACCAAGCAAAGGAAAATTATACTTCACATGTGACAAAGGCTCATGTGAATTTTTTGCTTGGTGTCATCCCGAGGGAAACTTTAGCAATCCCTATGGCAATGTTAGGCGACCAAATGAATATCATGGAATAAGGCCAACATTTGGTAGTTTAGACTATCCTTTCCCTAATGCAAGGATTGTTTTGATGGATTGCAACCATACTCTGATGAAGATCTTGGTCATTGCATTGATCATTATGTTTGCCCTCATCATAATCCTTATGACGATGTTAATTAGCAAGTTTTAAGTTTTGTTGTTCTATTATTTTGATTATGCAAGAACCTGATATGTAAGAACCTTTAGTTTGATTATGCAAGAACCTGTATTGTGATTATGCAAGAACCTGTATTTCATCATGTATCTATGTATTTCATATTCAACTCAAATGACAAAATGGTGTAATATTTCACATAGAACTGAGCAATGACAAAAAAGTTTTACATAACTGAACTATTTCAATGAAAATGCTCGTATTCCCTATTCCAGACAAAAATAACATGTGCCCTACCATATGCATATCTACTATATACTTGTCCCACAAAAATAACATGTGCCCTAACATATGTACATCTATACTCCCCCAAGATTCTGAACTTCAACTGACTTTTCAACTATGTTTACTTGGGAAGTTATGAGACAGTAGAATGACTTTGTGATCCTGGGGTTGTTTGTGATGTTGTTGGTCCTTCATTGCACTACATAGTGGAAGACAAATAGAAAATACGTCAATTGTATTCCATTGAAATAGGTAGGATGTTATTTACCTGACTACAATTGGTCACACCACCATTCTTGCCCTTCGCTTTAACTGGTGCTCTTTGACATGTTCTTTTGTTATGCCCAAGTTGTAAGAAAATTTGGCACCTTATTGTTTGGGACCTCCTCATGTCACTTGTACCAGTTGCTGGCTCATCTATACCTCTCCTTCTATTGGTCCTAGGCCTTCCAGGTAGCCTGCGCAGGGGTGGAGGTTGTAGAGGTTCTGATACTAGATCCCACATCTTTTGGTCCACAATTGGATGGATCATATCTCAATGAACAAGAAAATAAGTCTCTTTGGTGTAACTTCTGTGACAATATTTTCTCTCTAGGATCCTATTGCAGCTGCTGCATGAATGCAAGGGATTCTGAAATTTGCCATTGTCTACACGAACACATCCTAGTGGCCAAATTGACTGGATATCGTGTTCCCTCATGACTTATGTCAAATTCCAAGTTCCCAGCAAATAATACAAGACATTTCATATTGTCCTGAACCATTTTGTTCAATTTTATCTTAATATTTTTGGTGACTAATCCCTCCCGTGCACATCCTTTGTGGTATCTTTTTTGAAATCTCACCATTAACTTACATCTAATTCCTTCCAAAAGAGTGAGTATTGGCTTATGCCTATGCAGTCCAATCCAGTTGTTAAATGATTCACACATGTTATTGGTTATGTGGTCACTTTTCACAAATTCACTAAATGTATGCCTAGCCCATGTATGTACAAGGACTTTCATAAGCCAATTATAAGCATTAGAGTCATGTAACTTCATTATCTCTATATTGTCCCCAAACCCTACCACATTATAGGTCCTAGCAGCCCTCCAAAAAGTTTTTTTAAGTAATAGTCCAGGGAACTTGGACTTGAAATTATTGAAGAGATGCACATAACATCTCTTGTGCTTAGCTCTATGGAAAATCTTCTCAAACACTTTATAAAGTCCCTAAGTTCATAACAAAAATAGAAATAGAAATATAAAAACAAATTATCTTCTGATTGTTAGACATAAAGGTCTATGGTTGGAACCTATCCCCAACACCAATAACTACAATGCAGATTGTTTAGAAATCACCCCCAGCTCTCTGTTCTCTCACTTTCAACGATTCCATATGCCATTGGGAATAATCCTTCATTCACATCCAGTGCTACTGTAGCTACAAGAACCCCACTATATGGCCCTTTGAGGTGACAACCATCAATACCAATGAAAGTCCTATAACCTTCTCTGAACACTTTCGTCATAGCACCAAATGAAATGAAAAATCTCTTGAAAATGGGATTAACACTCACTGAAGGCTTAAAGTAATCACTAAGTGCAACAAAACTAGGATTACTTTTCAAAACTTGTCTAACATAGGCTAGTAATAACTCAAATGTTTGGCTATGATTACCTTTTATTGCTTCCATAGCCCTCATGTTTGCCCTATAAAGCCTACTACCATTACTTTTAATTTCCCATTGATCATTCAATTCAGACCGCATACTCTACAATGTTATCTTAGGGTTGTTCTTGATGACCCCTTATAACTGTTTTGCAATCCAGGTGTTGTTTGCCTCATCCACCTTCCTATACCTAATACAATTATGCTCACTTTTGTAACTCTTCACCTTAAATGTAGACTGATCTGGAAAAGGTGATGCATGGATCCTCCATTTGCAACCTTCAGTAGCACAGTGCACTGTGACCCTGGTCCTCTCATTCTTCTTCCTAATCACTTTGATCCATTTTTTAATGATGTAGATGTAGTCCCTTAAATCATCCCTAAAAAGATCAACATTCTCAAACAATATCCCCACATAGAAATCCCAATCAAAGTTTCAACCATTATCAATATGAAACTCAGTCCCATAGTCAGATGTATCATACACTTTGGATTTTCTCTTTTGCTTGCTATCACCATTCATATTCTCTACATCATCAGAATCATTACTACTCCTACCACCTTCATTCCCAGATTGATAATCTGAGAAACCATCACTATTTGCATCCCACTCTTCACATGTGCTAATTGGCCCAACATATTGGCAATCATTCCTAGAATCAGGAACATCATCACCTTCACCTCTCCAGTCCTCATCCTCAAAACTAAAACCATATACACCATCCTCCTTATCATTATCTACCACATCAGTTTCCCCATTTCCAACCTCAAACTTAACATTTACAACACCTGTTTCCACATTTCCAACCTTAAATTCTAAATTTATACCACTTGTTTCCACATTATCAACCTCTCTGTTTTCATTTTCACCTACAACCATATTACCAACTTCCTTGTTCTCATTCGTATCCACATTTGCATTTGAAGCTGGAAGTGTAGCCTGGTATCCAATATCAACAAAAATATGTATCTCTCTACTGCTTCAATACATATTAAACACATCCATTAAACATTTATCATCATCAACTGTCATTCTCTCATCACCATTTGATCTATTTACAATGATTTTATATGTCACCAAATTTTGTTGTATACCACCAAGTAATACTTTGTTAATATCGGCGACCAAATCCATATGACAGTACTCGTCTTGGTCTATTCCATAAATCATCACAATGGTATCACTACTATAGACAACTATATCATGCTCAAGTTCACCCATTTTTTTTTCAGAACCTGAATAATTCAACCCAAATTTCAAAAACAATACCCAAATACAATTGTACATCAAACAAAAAATTCAATAAACGGAAAAACATTGCATAGAGGGCAAAATACTTACCAATGGCTGCAAGAAAATCAACGCCCATCAGTCTCCAATAGTTATGAGTTAGTTTCAACTTGTAGGTATCGCTTCTGATTCCTATGATTGCAAGAATTTAGACTCTCACTCGTGAAAAATTTTCATTCTTCAAAGCTCAAGCACCGATAATTGGGGTTATAGAAAATATTTGGAAAGGTGCAAGCAAGGGTTAGATCTAGGGTAAATTGGGGTTCTGAACATGCTTAGATTCAAACACATACAATGGCTGATTCTAAAAAGGAAAGTTAGGGTTTGAATCGAATCTACAATTCTCACTAAATTTGAGGTTTTACATACCAGATCTAACCCATTCTAAGCTAGAGGAGTTGAATCTCTCTCGCTCTCTCTCTCTCTCTCTCTCTCTCTCTCTCTCTTTGTGGCAAACGATGTGTTGTAGAAGAAGCGTTTCAATTTTTTAGGGTTTTGTTAGTCAGATAGGATATTTGTATCATTTTAGACATAGTGGTTTGATAGGCAATATTATAATTCAGAAAATGGGGGTTATTCTTGTCATTGCACAACTTCTATTAACTCTGTTTATTATAGGGGGTGTCACTGTAATTAATAAAATGTGAGGGGGTGTCCATGATATTAAGACAAAACTCAGGGCATCCGAATGATTTTTACCCTAAAAAAAGAACAAAAAAAAAACTAACATAGGAGTAGATAAAAAAAAATACCAATTAAAATTTTTTACCCAAAGTTTGTCTCATTTTGATTCCAATATTTTAATTTCATCAAGTAGACAACATCTAAATTGCTTACGTTATTTGATCATAAACTTGTCACCTGATACCTAAATATGGGAAAAAAATAACTTGAGTAGTTTTTGACCAAAATTTGGGTGGCTCTTGACAACAAAATGTGTAATATGAGTAGCTTTTGACCAAAAATTAGATCAAATCTGTGCAATTTGGGTAGCTCTTTGACCAAAATTTGGGTAAAAATTTGGTCAAAATTTATTCAAATTATTTTTTTTTTCTCATATTCAGGTATTACGTGATAAGTTTATAATCAAAAATCATTAATGCAATTGAAATATTATGGACCAAAATAAGACAAATCTCATACTTTGAAGATCTCCAGTACAATTAACTCTTAGTTTTATCAAGGAAAATATGGAGGCCGGTCCATCTATATGGATTTATTTGGAGATAAGTCTGCAAAGAAAACTTATTTGCTATGAAGTCCATTTTTTGTTAATTTTACCAAAATATCTCTTTCCTTTAGAAGTGAAGTAAATGACGTTTGAGGAAACCATTTCACAAATGGAAGGAATCGATTCCACCAACAATCGGCGCTTTCAAATCCAGCAACACCTACAAATCTGGCAACTCCTACAAATCCGGCAAAGATTTTTCCTACCGCAATGTTTCCTTCTCCGAAAAACATGTAACCAAAATTTTCCAAAAATCGTTCAAATTCAAATTTTAAGCTGAATCAGATAATACTATATTCGATTTTCTTCTGTAGTTTGTTATGGAATCCATTGAAGAAGTTGTTGTTCATTCTAGGGTTTCAAAACATCTTCTACATTTTCGAATTCAGAATTAGGATTTAGGTATGTGATATTATGGGGAAGTTGCTGTTCATTCTAGGGTTTCAGAACATCTTCTACATATTCTATTTTTCAAAATTTATATTGATTTCTGTTTTCCTAATTTTAATGTGCGATTCAATGTTACTAAATTAAATGATTTAGTTTTCCAATTTGTCTTTTATTAGGAAAAACAATCGAAAATTTCTTTGTTGCGTTATTGTGGAAAAACGTTGATGTTACTGCGATGGAAAAAAATTCGATGTTACTTATTCGATGTCTTAACGTTCACAATTGTTACTTTTGTCCTAATTCAGCTTGCGATTATGTGTTACTAATTGAAATAATGTAATTTTTCAATTTGTGTTACTGCGGGAAAAAAAAAAGAGATGTTTTATTTCCAAAATATTCACATGGTTGTTGTGTGCTTCAATTAGCTTTACAATTCGGTGTTATTCAAATAATGTAATTAATGTTCAACAAGAACTTTGAGTCATTTTGTGTTATTAACTTACAAATTATAAATGATGTTACTGAACAATAGTTACTAAGATATCACAAGCATTTGGCTTAACTGTTTGAATTTATTAACATAATCGAATTTATTATGCTTAATGTCTTATGTTCATTCTAAAAAATTTAACACTGAAAATTAAGATTGTATATGGACGGATGTTATTATGATATGTGTTAATAAATTACGTTTTGAAATTGATGTCACTAAGTTGATGTTGCTATGTTAACATCAAGTACTTGACTTGCACTGCTCATGTTACTTTTTCACATTTTTTTCACTAATTGTCTTATGTTCATTATGTCTTGCGTGCTTTTTTCCAATATGTGGTTTGTGAGAAAAAAATCAATTAAATTTCTAGATGTGCTTTGGTAATCTAATTTTGTAATATGTTAATATATGTTGGTTAGATATTGATGCTACCATGTTATGTTTCAGGTTGACGTAGGAAGGAAATAAAAGAGAAACTGAAACCAACTTAAGTTACAGCTCTATGGATAGAGATGTTTTCTACATTCAAAAATCATAGGAATGTATGGACCGTTGAAGACTACAAGACAAGATCAAGATTGAAAAAAAGATACCAAAAAAAAAGAATTTGTAATGTTATAAAACTATTCATTTTTAACTAGTTGCAGGCTTGGTTAAGAATTAGTTATAATGATTTGTTAGTTGAGAATTGTTTGAAATGGTGTATGCAAGCCTTTAGAAATATGGTTTGCTGTTACGTCTTGAGATTAAATTGATTCGTTCATGTAAGGTTGAGTATTTATTTGTAATGGATTGTTTGAAAAATGAAGGAAACTATGTCTGAATTGTAACTCAAATAGTAACATGATCAAATATGTTCCAACTCAGTGAACCATTTGATTTTAGAAGGCTGATATGGTGTTATATGTCGAAGTGATATATTGTTATATGCAGGGTTGGGTATTATTTGTATATATTTGTTTGAAAAATAAATGAAACTCTATCCAGATTGTTAGTGCAAAAAGTAACACGAACAGTAACGTGGCTTAAATTTGTTCCTATTTAGGGAATCACCTGCTTTAAGAAAATATGTTTTAATGTTACATTTCTAACTGAGTTTGTAATATTGTTGCATGATTGGTTACTGTTTCTATTAGTACAAAAATAGTAACATCAGTAATAATATTAATAGTAACATATACAGTAACATGGTTCAAATTTGGTCCATGAGAGATAAATACAACATTGATAACTTATCACACTAGATGACTACAATGATTGACTCAAGTAATTTGAATAAGAAATTCCAGCGTATGAAATCAAGTTCAGCCCAAACTCTAACAAATAGGAACTCAAAATCGTACTCCAGCTTCAAAATCTCAAACTCAGACTCAAAGTTTGACTACAAAATCTCAAATTCCAGCTTCGACCTTCATCACCTTCAAATCACCCACAAAATCTCGAACTCTCAGAAGATCGTAAAGTTCGTCACAATAAAAATTCTGGCAAGTAACATTGAAATTCTGACAATCACAAATATAACATTGTTATTTATAGTAGATAAAACAGTCAATTACAATGAATACCTCAAGAAATTTGAATAAAAAATGGTTCTAGCATACGAAGTCAAGATCAGCCCGAACTCCAACAAATAGTAAGTTGAACTCGAACTCACACTCGTACTCGTACTCTGACTGCTAAAAATGTCAAACTCTAGCTTTAACTTTTATCACCTTCAAAACATCCCCAAAGCTCAAAAGTTTGTTATTCAAATGTATAACATAACAAATAATGACTAAGAATTTGAATTTGAATTTGAATTTGAATTTGAATTATTAAGAAAACTTGTATATATATATATATATATATATATATATATATATATATATATATATATATATATCTTCTTGCAACTAATGTCTTTAACTTTCCATAACCGATCAAAACTAACACTGTTAGGGTATTTTTGATACTAAAAAAAAAGTTAACTTAACTACTTACTAATAAGATTAAAAACGGACTTACCCCCCAACAAATTTTCTTCATATATTCAAGTCATTATAAGTCCATCTAGGAGGACTCAGCCGCAATTTTCACTTTTATCAAACCCTTTATTTGGATAATAATTTATGATATTGTGAGCTCTATCTACCAACCAACTATTTTTTAGTCAAATCTCATAACTTTGGCTTAAATTTATCATCTTACCCTTGAATTATGTCAAAATCTATCTCATATTTGACTTTCCCATTACTTAGGTGCCACTTTAATATTGAATTGAAAATTGAAAATTAGTTAGTTATTGTAAAAAATTTAGTTCTTTGTGTTCCACTCTAAAAAAATTCAAAAAAATCGATCACAAATATATTTGATCTTGCCAAAATATTATAATAAATTTAGTTAACAAAAAGATATTGACAAATAAATACAAGACACAAAAAATAGGCAAAAAATTAACAAAAAAAGAGATAATAGGGATGGAGAAAGCGGGAGGGAAGGAGGGAGGGAGAGAAAAAAGACAACAAAAAATACCGAAAAAAAGAGACAGGCCAAACAAAAAAAAAGGGTAAAAAATTAATTTGTTAGAAATTTCACAATGATGGGAAAGGAAAAGGGAAAGGGAAAGGAGGAGAGAGATAACTGAAAAAATAAAATCGAAGATGCTGAGTATAGCTCCCATCGACGGAGAAAGCGAGAAGGAGAGGGAGAGAAACAAGGGGAGAGAGAGAGTTAGAACAAAAAAAAGGGTAAAAAAAATTAATCTGATGGGGAAGTTCACAATGATAGAGAGAGAGAGAACACACATGGTCCACAATGGCGACTGGTTGGTGAAGAAAACTATTGAGGGGCAGCATGGTAAATTTTCCTTCAATCCTGTCGGCAAACAAATGTATCCAACACCACCCGTGGGTTTAAGATATCCTTCTAAGGACAAAATATTAAGTACAATGGTGATACCATATAGTAATACTGAAGTGGTATCATG